TTTTTTTTGGTGGGGGGAGCATTTATTCTTTAATCTTTGCATTCCTCCCTGTGCTTCCACCTGTCTACATCATTCAGAATAATGCCAACCTCTTTCTTGCTGTATATTGCCTTCCCCAACACCCAAGTTAACATGTGTCTACCCTCTAGTGTAGCGCTGTGGTTTAATGCGCTAGACTGCAAAGCTGTTTGAACTGCAAGGTCAGCGGTTCAAGCTCACTAGCTGCTCCTTGGAAACCCTATACAGGGTGGCTATGGGTCGGAATCGACTCGATGGCACTAAACAACAACAACAACCCTCTAGTAAGTGAATTACTCACCCTTCTCTCCCTCACTTGGTAACCATCAGAGAATATTTCTTTTAGCATGAAAACCTTTTCTTGAGTTTTTATAATAGTAGTCTCATACTTGTATCTTTGTGGTTGACAAATTTCACTCAGCACAGTGTCCTCCAGGTTCATCCATATTATGAGGTGTTTCACAGATTCATTGTTATTCTTCAATGTTGCATAGTATTCCACTGTGTGTATGTACCAAAGTTGTTTATCCACTCTTCATTGATGGTCATTTAGACTATTTCCATCATTTTTTTTTTTTTAAGTTTTATTGTGCATTATATGATAGTTTACATGGGAGAACATTAGTTTTACATTCATTCTCTCATGTATCATTTCATTGTCATGGTTCCAATCCCCTCCATGAATCATCAACCAACCAAAGGGTATACCATGCAAGTCTGCCCCCTACACTACCCTTCCTGCCCAGTCTTTAGCACACAGTCCCTCTCCCTCTCTGGATCTAAAGTCCCCAGCTGCTGCATCGCTCCACGTCATCATCTCTGCCTCCATCTCAGGCATTGCTGCTTCTCTGGGAAGGGTCCCGCTCTCATCTCTTCTCCGTTGATGGTCCTAGGGACCTCCGCTCCTAGACTGGAAAGTTAATTACTCCCTTCCTTGCTATAAAACGTCTACCTTTACATTTCCAACCATCACAATCAGTCCTGATAACAATTATTCACTATTGTATCA